ATAATAAAATAAAATAAAATAAAAATAAATAAAATAAAATAAAATAAATAAAATAAAATAAAATAAAAAATAAAAAAAATCAATTTTAAAAAATATTAAGAAACTAAAATATTAAAAATTAGAAACTTGAACCCAAGCAATAACCAGGCCCTAAGAGTTAATATAATTTAAACCTAAGAGCTAATATTATTAAAATCTAAGAATTAGTAAAAAATTAAAAATTTAAACCCAGGCAATGACCGGGTTTTAAGAGTTAATATAATATAAATCTAAGAGCTAATATCATTGAGACCTAAGAATTTAAAAACTTAAACTCAGTTTTAACTAGGTTCTAAAAGTTAATATAATTTAAATTTAAAAGCTAATGTTGTTAAGACTTAAGAATTAGTAAAAAATTAGAAACTCAAACCTGGGCAATGACCGGGTCTTAAGAGCTAATATTGTTGAAACCTAAGAATTAGCAAAAATTAGAAGCATGAACCTAAACAACAACTAGATTCTAAAAGCTAATATAATTTAAGCCTGAGAGCTAATATCTTTGAGACTTAAGAATTAGCAAAAAATTAAAAACTCAAATCTAAACAATAACTGGATCCTAAGAGCTAATAATATTGAGGCCTAAGAATTAGTAAAAAATTAGGAACTTAAACAAGCAATGACCAGGTCCTAAGAGCTAATATAATTTAGACCTAAGAATTAGCAAAATATTAGAACCTCAAACCCAAGCAATGACTGGGTTCTAAGATCTAATAATGTTAAGGCCTAAGAATTAATAATGTTAAAGCCTAAAAATTAGCAAAAAATTAGAAACTTGAACCCGGTCAAGAACCGGGTCTTAAGAGCTAATAACATTGAGGCCTAAGAGTTAATAACATTAAGGCCTAATAATTAATAATGTTAAAGCCTAAGAATTAGCAAAAAATCAAAAACTCGAACTTGGTCAATGACTGGGTCTTATAAGCTAATAAAGTTGAGGCCTAAGAATTAGCAAAAAATTAGAAACTTGAACCCGATCATGGACTAGGTTTTAAGAGCTAATAATGTTAAGATCTAAGAGTTAGCAAAACATTAGAAACACAAACCCAGACAATGACCAGGTTCTAAGATCTAATAATATTAAGATCTAAGAATTAATAACATTGAGGCCTAAGAATTAGCAAAAAATTAGAAACTCAAACCTGGTCAAGGACCGGGTCTTAAGAGCTAGTATATATATATATATATTACATACAATACTAATACCGATCATGCCGAAACCAATAACTTAACCGGATCGGCCGAAAAATCATTCGGCAAATTTTATCAGGTGTCCTAGGAATTATGAAAATACATATGGGCCGATTTTTTTGATATACTTTTCAAATTTGCTGATCATTTGGCCCTTGGTTTATCAGGAAAAACTGTCAGCAAATTTGACCAGAATTAGATCAGTTTGAAAAGTATATCAAAAAAATCGGCCCATATGAGTTTTGTAAATCCGGATTAATCCGGATATAAATATAAATTCGGATTCATCTACTACCTCTAGTTTTGTAAATGAAAGCATTCCCTACTGAATTTTTTATTTTTTTATTATTTTTATTATTTTTTTATTTTTTTTTATTTTTTAATTTTTTATTTATTTTATTTTTTAATTTTTTATTTTTTTTATTTTTTTTCAAAATTTCAAACTCCGATTAAATGGAGTTTGAATTTTGTTAATTTTGTGGGAATTTGAATTTCTATAAGTCACATGACTTCGTCACTTTGTTGGAGTTTCAAACTCCATTTTGACGGAGTTTGAAACTTCTCTAATTTTACAGGAATGCAAAATCCAAAGTCACGTAACTTTGTTATCACACGATCGGAGTTTTAATTTCAATTGCCTCTCTTCTCTTTTGCTTTTCTTTCACTTCGCCTTTTTCTTTCTTGTTTCATTTTCTTCCCTACTCCTCCCTCTTTTCTATTTACCTACTTCCTCTTCTACTTCTATTCTACACTCTTTTCTTTTTTTCTGTCCTTCTTACCCACCCACCCTCTCACTGGCCCTCTCACCGTCCCTTTCACTATCTTTCTTTAAAAAAAAATTTTACTTTTTTTTATCTACTATTTGGCATTTGGTGTTACTAATTAAAAAGTAACACTTTTGCCTACTTTGCAGACAAAAGCATTACTTTTTTAATTAGTGACACCAAATGCCAAATAGTAGAGAGTAGACTAGCTTTTAGAACCTGGTTGTTGCCCAGGTTTGAGGTTCTAATATTTTGCTAATTTTTAGGTTAAATTATATTAGCTCTTAGAACCCAGTCATTGTCTAGGTTCGAGTTATTTATTTTTTGCTAATTCTTAGACCTCAACATTATTAGCTCCTAAGTTCTTGTTATTGCTTAAATTCAAGTTTTTAATATTTTGCTCCTCAATAATATTAGATTTTAGAACTCAGTCATTACCCAGGTTTAAGTTGTGTTTTTAAATTGGGTTCAATGAACCTGAACTGGGTTCAACGAACCTGAATTTGGCTACATACTTTCTCTCCTTTCTTCTTTTTTTTCTTCTTCTTTTTTTTTTCCTTCTCTTTCTTCTTTTCTTTCTCTTTCTTTTTTCCTCTTCCCCCTTTTGTCTTTTTTTTCTTTTTTCTTTTTCTCTTTTTCCTTTCTTTCTTCTCCTTTCTCCTTTCTCTCATTTTCTCTTCTCTTTCTTTCTTCTTTTTCATTTTTCTTTTCTCTTTTTTTTTTTTCTTTTTATTTTTTTTCTTTCTCCCTTTCTTTTCTTCTTTTCCTCTCTTTCTTTTTCTTCTTTCTTTTTCCCCTTTTTCTTTCTTCTCTTCCTCTCTTTTTTTCTTTTTCTTCTTTCTCCCCTTTTTTCCTTTCTTTTCATTTTTTTCTTCTCCTTCTTTTTCTTACACTTTTTCTCTCTCTTTTCTTTCTTTCTTTTTCTTTCTCTCTTTCACTTCTCTCTCTTTCACTCTCTTTTTTACTCTCTTTCTTTTTCTCTCTTTCTTTCTTTTACTCTTTTTTTTTTTGAAAAGAATTTACCTTTTTTTATCTACTATTGCAACTTTCTTTGTTACTAATTAAAGTGATGTTTTTACCTTTTTTTTTAACAGAATTACCCGCTTACACAGGTACCTCTGTTAAAAAAAAAAGTAAAAGTGTTACTTTTTTAATTAGTGACCAAGACTTGCCAAATAGTAGAGGGTAGATTTTCATATTACATGTAATTTAATTTTATCATTATAATATTGACACATTCAATGTTACTAAATTTTCGTTTGAATACTTGCCCGATATGTTTATTGTGTTTAGTTTGTATGAAAATCTATGAAAAGATTATTCTTGTCAACTAATAAATCTTAAGAAATATAAAGCGCAGATACAAATTTATAAAATAAATAAATATATATATATATATATATAAATTACTTCCTTATGTGTATATCTAAGTCAGTGTATAACTTTTTATATCCCAACAAAAGGTCCGTTTCGGATTGTAGTTTATACAAATACTAGTCAGGTTTTTCTTTCGTTAAGAGTTTTAAGATATTTATATTGTTTGTTTTTAGTGAACATGGTAAGTGATGAAATTTTTTCAATATCTAAAAGTGCTTGGGAACCAGATTTATAAAGGACTTGCCAATATTTAAGTGTTTGGCAATTTTTCAAACTGATAATCCTTCTAAAATTTTTCAACTATTTGATAGCCAAGATAGTTTGAAAGTTTCATTTCTGTATTCAACCAGAGATATATGTAGTTTTATAATACTGTAATATTTTTGTTATTCGTCTAATCTTAAATTACGTATATCTGATATCTGTTGTTGAACCTTTTATTCCCGAAATCAATAACTTAACCAGATCGGCAAAAAAATAAATTTATCAGTTGTTCCAGGAATTATGAAAACAACTTAATTAATCCAGTTTCAATTTTTTGGAATAAATTTTTTTTTTTTTTTAATGTTAAAGGTGAGACTATGCTCTTATCTTTATTAAACTTAATGAAAACTTTTTACATAAT